TTAGGCGAAGTTGGTCCGTTAGCCGGGCGGTGGCGAGCCTCCACCCTGCCCCGACACGCCCCACTCCACCCCGCTCCATCTACTTTTCGGCCCGCGCAGCCCCCGGCCCTCTGTACACCGCCCCTCCCGCGGGCCCGCCCCCTGGGCACGATAAGTGGTTAGAGAGAAATTGATAAGTTGTAACTCTTAGGTGTCTCGGCTCCCCTCTCTGCGACTCGCTTGCCCTTTCCGCCTGTTTCTCGCCTTCGATTTCACTCTACCAACCTTCGCCTGTGACCGTTCTCCGAACTTACCACAGTACATGAATGTAGATATTAGTTCTAGTGCTATTACATTGGTTCTAGTTGTGGATTCTCAATCAATCATTCTTCGGCTGTGTCTCCTATCACACGCAATGCATTACTTTTATTTTTGTTATCATAACATCCAAACTTGCTAGTATCTCGTTCCTGCCCTGCTGAACAATATGAATCTCATCCGATACGCTATGCCTCAACTAGTATTGCCATTTCCTATCCTTCGAACCTTACCATTTCTTATCTGCCACTCTTCTCCCACGTGATGATGGTCACCATTCTTCTATTTTTAGTTTTTGACTTTCACTCAAAAAATCGTCTTCTGACGCTTCAACCGAATTACTCTTCTATTATGTTACTTCCTCACATTCATTTCCACATGAAGATGATGTTATTTTTTCTTAACACACGCGTCACTCACAACCCTATTATATCACTATTCGTATGTTCTATCTCCACATTTCGGTCCGGTCCACACCTCGTTTCGAACTCCCCCGCCTCCTCCTCCCGCCCGTCTTTGCGGCCGGGGTTTCGCTTCCCTTCCTTTCCCGCACCGAAGTTGGCGCCGGTTCCCCTAATCCTGCGAGGTCATTGCTTCGACCACGCGCCCCCCTTGTTTATAAATGAGAGAGGGTTCTTGCGCGTCGCCGGAGAGCACCTTGGAGAAGCCACAGCCTCTCGGTCGAGCTCCGGGGGGGGGGAAGGAGCCCTAAGTGGATGGCCCCCGCCGGGCGCCCTCCGAGTGGACGTTCTAATGTGATGGGGCGGCGCCCAAGTTATGGCGCGATTAGGCTCCGCGGTCGCTGGGGGGATTGGGTAGTCTTCGGCCTCGCCGGTCCAAGCGTGGAGCGAAACAACCCAAGAGAGAGCCGGAATCGACATCGGTTATGACGTCGTGGTGTATATTTATTTCATACAAAATGAACATTGCGAAAGAAGAGCACTTTCTCGAATCATTTAATGAGAATGGAGTATTGCTTTATGAGCAAAGCGGACAGTTAAGAATCGCATTGCACAGATGTGATACTAATACAGTTTTCAGAGCTGCAAGGTTATTAATTTTCATCCGAAATTATGAAAATTGAATTAAATTCAAAAGCATTCAAAATATATTTATTCCACACGACAGCAATTCTTAAACGATTGTTAAGGAATGATGATATTAAAACATACGAGTGGTACGCATTTAAAACGTAAAAAGCTGTGACAAAGCATGATAGAAATAAATTGCCATTGAAAAACATAAAAGAATTAGAAGAAACTATTTTTATTAGTACATTTATAACACGCGTTTAGGTTATTAGGCATTTCCTTGGTTCTCACTCTCTGTACTTAGACATGATGCGAACGTGTGAACTACATCTATCAGGGTTGCGAACACGAAAAAAGAAAAATTAACCGAGAAATAAAGTGACAGCCGAATTGTGTAAATTAGGTGTATTTTTCGTAATTATTTTGGTAATTATTTAGGGATTAATTATTCTTTCTGAACAAAATAATTCATTTCTTTTGTAAATTATAAATTACATAGTTTTGGAGTGTTTCTATGCTTGTGCAATGAAAATTTTGGACAAGAATACATTTTTTCAAACTAACTTTTGAGTGCTTATTGTGGTACAGCCATTCAGAATATCCAAGAAGTTTATTAGAGAAAATATGTTTAGTATTGTCTTAAGAGTTTATTAGAGAAAATATGTTTAGTATTGTCTTAAGAGCTTATTTTCGAATTTTAGACGTTTCCTGTCCGTTTACTCTGTGTATACCCATAGTTTCATTAAAACATTTGAAATTTCGAAAGTTGCAAATTTTCGCAAATTGCAAATTAGCATCTCTCATGTCTCATTTGCTAAAGAGAGTATTTTACGAGACAGCTGAAGTATAAATAGGATATAATTTGTAATATTATATTATTACGTATGTTACAAATAATACGAGAGTGTAAGTGCGATTGAAACACCACTATTTTTATTTTTCCGTTCAGTAAATGTTGATGCATATTTTCGGTTTAACACCGAATGGTACCAGGCAAGAACATGTTAATTCATAAATTATCCAAATTAACAGGTTTTCGCGATATTTTAGTCCTATGTGTGTTAACTAAAGGATTTTATTGATTCTACCTTGGAATGAATCGGTTTATATCCGTGTTTCAAATGTAATTATATTTCATCGCCTATAATAAACGAACTTTCCTAGCTATTTTTCTCAAAGCTAATAAAGTATTAGTTAAAATGTTCTTCACATGTCTCTTCAATTGTTACCCTAAATATCCCAAAATACACATTCTACAAACTACTCTTGTGATCTCATGAATGATTTGTTTGGTCAGTGTTCGGATAGTCAGCTGAATTTCATGCCATATTTGGGCAATGTCGACTACATCTCTTCAGGGAACACACACGTTAGGAAAACGTCTCGAGTTGTGGACGTTTCACGAGATCGAGACGTTTCTGCCCCCCACGCAACTTCACCAATGTCTATTATCGCTGAAGCAACCGAAGCACAAGGTCCAGGGCGTCACCGTCCGAGAAACTCGAGCAAAAGCACACAGACGCGAGACCGCCCGCGGCCCACAGCGCAGCGGCGTCACTTTGCCGAACAGCTTGCGGGCGCGGCGGGTTCGTCTGTGTGCGCGCGTCGCAGCGCCTGGAATCTGTCTACGGCGTTGATTCCCGCCCCGCGCTTCCCGCCGACGCTCAGCGCGTTTATCCGAGCATCAAACTCCGTGCAAACAACCCGCGGAGCAGCCCAACGCAATATTCGCGAAGCGGCGGTGGCGGAGAGACAGCGCGGGTGGGGGGGGGAGCGGGGCGCGGCACGGCGAGGAGCGACTTGACCGCATTGTTAGACGGTGTAGCGTCTCGACGCCACACCGGCGTCGGTGGCGTCGGCGTCGGAGGAGGAGGAGCCTGCGTTTGCGGCGGCTTCGTTCTGTGCAATTAGAGGCGTAATACCGTCGGCGGGGGCTGCCGACTCCCAATCCCACACGACGGCAGACTTAATTAGTACCTGCCAGCGCCGGCGCAGCGCTGGCGGCGGCCCCCGACACCGACGCCGGCCTCCAGACCGAGACCCTGTGCCGTGCCGCGCATCTTGCGAGTTATGTATGGGCCCGGGCGCCAACTCCTGGAGTCTGCGGGAGGCCGCGTTAGGGCTTTCTGACGAGATGTGCGGTCGCCGCAGGGGCTCCCCTGCACTATTTCAAGGCGGCTTGTTGCGCCCTCTTCGGCGTCCGACTGCTTCTCCTGGAATTTGTAGAGGGAGAGGCTATCAAGGAAACGTTGGAATCAGGCCGCTAACTAGTAAAACTCTTTGCATTGAGTCGCACCTACACAACTTGAGTTATTCCTTCTTGTGTTTTCGTTTAATATGAATAGAAAACTTCATTGCAATCATTTTACAATATATTAAAAGTGAAATAACATTTGCGTTTATAGTCCGTAATTATCTGTGAGATGTAGGAGAACTGATTAACATTAAGGTATCCTAACAATATAATATACTTTCTATCGTAGTTACGTTTTTTAGCTTATAAATTGTCTTGTAAGAATCAAGAAGATATTGGTTAAAATGTCCAATAGTCGGATGATGAGTCCAATATGGTATGGGCGCAATTGTAAATGCTCTTTAGCTCCAATCTCAAATGGTCGCTAATGTTGATGAAATTTAAGCAAAACAGTGGTGAGACAAGAAACCATATTGTTGCAACTCTGTGTTTGCTGTAGGGCGTGATAAAGTTAATGATTTCAATACGCAAGTTGAATTTATAAGAAATAAAAAAATAATATCTACTCTGAAGTTGAAATTGGCAGCTGGAATATTAGTGGCGTGTGAATACAGAATTCTGGCTATTAAAACAAGTAGTGAGGCAGATGCACAAGTATTAATCAATTCTGCAAGTAATTAAAAGCACGTGAAGACGTTTGCCGTTACTTCAGAATAATATGTAATTCCTCCTTGAAGGAATTATCATGATTCATCTTACATGAAAAAAGTTACGTATAATTAGAAATACGAGTATCTATAAAAATGATCGTGTGTTTTTAATCACATTCATAATTGATTAATTCCTGAAGCCCTGTCTCATTATTAACATATTCAGTAAATCATCTAAAATTAAATAAAATATGTGCAAAATAAAGTAGAAACTTGCTTTAATTAGGGGTGCTTTTGTAATTTTTACATATGTAAATATGTAAAGTTACATGCGTAACATTTTAGCTGTTGATACTTTGAAAATTTGTTCATGTTGCTCTGTTGTGTTAGATAGTATTAAATATCAAATGTGTTTTTGTGATTAATTGGGCGGTTGTTAAATGAGATTTTTGGCGATAAAGTAATGTACATCTAATAATTGTTTCATTCCAATTAAAGAATGTGATATTTAGTAATGTGCATGCAAGACAAGTTCATAAACATTTACATATTAGTTTGTTGGTACTTCTAGTTTCTCAAAGTCTATGAATAATTTATTTTCAAAAAAGAACCACTTTCCCCGGCTAATATGGTATGAAAGGTTAATTTGGATAACTTCAAAATTATGATAAATCTACGTGACCCTTATTAAATTTCTTCCCTTTGCTGTCATAGACCATCAAAGGCCTTGATTATAATGAAATATCTTTGAAACTATGAACACAAATCCCATTAGCAAACTCAATAGTTTTGAGAATTAGTTGACATTTGTGGGAGCGTTCATGTGTAATGACCGAATGTGTCTCATTTGTTGCAGTGCGCCCCCTGTCACTGACGTTGACCGGCGTGGAACAACACACAGTGCAGGGCAGCCTGGTGACCTTGCGCTGCGAGGTCAAGAACGCGCTGCCTGCTGCGAACGTCACGTGGTACAACGGCACTACCCCCTACGACAAGATTGAATTGGACTCTGAGACCTACTTTCGGCACAGCAGCAAGTCCCACGTAAGTATCCACTCTTACTTCCTTGGTTTACACTGGGCAAATCGAGTTCCGGCACCTCATACATTTGGTCAATTGGAATTGTAAAAAACTTTGCATATTTCTTGTGATATACTGTACAATTTTGATACAATTGTGTACATATGATACTGAATTTTCCATTAAAAAGTTATTTATCATTTGATCAAATGACATGACTATTCAGATATGACTTAACAAACTTTCGAGTTTTCAAGAAACTTCATAGTAATTAATTTGAAATAGTTGCAATCACAAATGCAATAATATTTAAAAGTGGTCGTAACGTAAATATTAACGACGTGGTAAATATATTTTTTTTTAAATGCTTTGGGAATGCTTTTTGAAACACAAAAACACATCAACAAGCCATATGTCTTGTTATTCAGCACATTTAGCACGATCCGTACAAAGAAATTAAAGAAAACATTTGGAGCCGTTTCTGAGAAATGCTTGTTTTCAAAGTTTCTTCTACCCGATAAAAAACAATTTAAAACATGGAAACCGGTTTTGAGAAACTTTAAAAGTGACCTTGACATTTAATGTAAATAACCCCAAAAAATAAAAATATCCCTTTCGAATTCAAGGTACCGCTACATAAGACAGACCGAATTCCAATTTTACTTCAAATCATGCTTACGAAATAGGCGGTTTAACCGAAAGACAGACGCACATACAGATATTTTGCTGGAAACCAATGTTCCGGTATCAAGGACCCAAAAAAGTGGATTCTGATTGCATGTGTTAGAGGAATACTACATATATAGACAAGATTTATTCACTTCCGCGGTTCACGATCTTACAATATGATTTTTGTGCCGAAATTCATCGTTTTTCTCTGCAGCATTTCATTATTTTCTGTATATTATGTATGAAGTATCATGAGAGAGAAAAGCGACTGATAAGTAAGGAATGTATGATATATCTGTTTCATTACAATTAGTAATTTTTTTAATGGAAAATTCCGTTATTTGATGAAAAATGTTATTTTATCCTAGGAAGGATTTCTATTCAAGAGTTGCTAAGAACACATGCTTGAGATTGGTATTATTTTCTGTAAATGGATTGTGTAGGAATAAAATACATCGCTAATCAATTCAGTGCTTTTGTTTTGTTTTCCAAGAAATTTGTTTAACTTTGTAAATATTTACTATAGTATTTTTAATATACACCTGTAATAAACGTTTCTTGTTGTCAGTTAGATGATTATTGAGTTCTATTAAAAATAAAATTATATTACTTTATTAATCCATATGGTGTACGATTGAAATTATAAAATATTTGAATTGTTTCATTCGTAATTTCAAGATTTAAAATTGCGGAGATACGAAATGTGTATGTTTCCTTTCACTTTCAAATCTCAAGCATATGATCGTAGCATTTGTGTGACTGTGAATATTGTATTCTCTTCTACAAAGAATTGTCAAACATTTACTCATTAAAACACTTGGATATGCACTGTGTAAATTATTTTTTTTATTAACTCACGAGTGTTTTTGATTTTCATTGCACATGAGAGTGCAATTGCATCTTGCTGTATACGTTTGTTATTCATATTTTTTATTATTGGATATAGATTATAGATATAACTCTAAAAATCCTACTCCTGATTTTATATCCAACTGGTTTGTTGATATTTATCTCCTAATAGCATGTTTTCATTCTATGCTTAATAACTTCCATGTTTGAAAAAAACTTTCATGTTTGTATTTTGAAATGCATTACATTTTGTGTGAAAATTGCTCGAAATTGTTTTAATCACAACACAGACTATCTTTTAAAAGTAAATAATTGATGTCAAGTATCTGAATAACCATTACGCCATTACATTTACCGTCTATTTAAGTTTGAAACGTTCAGAAAGATGGAAATAGATATTTTCTTATTAATGTAATATCATTTCGTTTCCATTGAGGTCACCATGATGAGCTTTGTTAAAACTATACATACTACCTATTAATTTCATTACTACCGTGTTATTTAAAATCATTATGTTTTAGTGATACATTATGAAAGACAAAACTTGTTTATTTTTTGAAAAAAAAAATAACTTAGGGAAGTAAGTTAAAATATAATAACATTTTGAAATGCAGGATTTCATCCCTATAATTATTTCACGCTGATTACATGGAAGAACATTAAGTGCAACTCTGTCTAGAAAATGGGGTCCGTGTCTTTCACAGTACAGGTAAAACTCCATTTCACTTATGCCCGGAACTTCTACGAGTCTCCACCCGGGGTGCTGTACTCACGGGGCCATTGCCGGCTCCCCGCCGTAGCGGTCCCTGCGTCGTCTCTAATTACTAGCGTCGAGACTTCTGTCATGATCTCCTCCCGCTCGTCCGGCCCAGGACACGAATTTAAATTTCCGAGGACGACACAGTCGAAATTAATGTGGGGGCGCCCTTCGCCCGGGGCATTAAAAGCGCGCTTTTTTAATCTGAAGCCAATTAACTTAGCCCACGCGGTTCTGAAATAAATTGGCCGGGCTTCAGGCGGAATGACAAATCTTTATTAAACCGCTCTTTCAACCACGCACACACTACTCGAGAAGACCGAATCTCTTTGCAAGTCCACCTTTGCGGTCAGCCGGAAAAGAGGTTTCTCGGTGACTTTTTCGCGACCTATTGCCGTTTTGTGCAAATTCTCCCCCGAAATAGGCATTTATTTCTTCCAATTCAATGTCCTAACTAAAAGTACTTTTCTCTTGGCGACCTCTCATGAATACACCAGATTCAAAGTAGACGCGTGCAGGCTAGATGTGTACACTTCCGAAGAAAATTAATGCAAAATGTGATTTTAGTGATAAGGGAACAAAACAAAGTAAGTACTTTATTTCATGCAATTCTAGTTCCTCTCTTAGTTCTAACTCTTGACTTCCCACACCTTTGTTAAAACTTTGAAGATAAATCAAACTTTTTTCTCAGATAAGAGATTCTCCCCTCAGCTTCTCTAAAAAGTATTTCAATTTACAGTCTCTCTTCGTTTGGTGACATTAACGCCGGGTTGAGAAAATACGCGCTTGCCCAGAAGCAGGGGAGACATAATGGCCTATTCTTTTTAATTTTTCGTTCTTGTGTACCTGTCTTAATAAAGCTCATCATGTCGACCACAATGCGACTACCCCGCTCTGTAAATCTCTACTTTTCCCCTTGCCCCGTAAATCTACTCCTAAGTACTCTTACCCCCTTGACGCACCGTGGCCCGATTGAGTGGACTAACAGCACTTTTCTGTTTCTCCCTCGCCCGCTCTGGACCTGCAGATGCCCACCATGATCTTCAAGGAGGAGGTAAGGGGATCCCACAACGCCCGCAAGTTGGCACGCATGCTGAGTTTAAGTGGCACTTTGCATGTTCTCTATTGAAAGAATAATTCATCACAAAATGTGCCATTAATGGAATTATTAACAACATTAATGGAATTTTTAAGCAATTTACATTGTAAAATTATTGACTATATCCTTAATTCTTCTCGAATAAACTTATGAGAGGTTTCATGATAATCTCCATCCCAAAATCTTCTTTACTTTTTCCATGAATAAGCCAATTTATGGCAATTTTTTACAGTGTAATTCCTATTAGATTTATAATTGAGTGTAGGTAATGATTGGCCAAAGTATTTGGTAGTTTTCTTCTTCAACGGTTATACTGAGCAAGGAAGTATAATTAAGGGAAAATGTATCGCCATATGCTGTCACGATGAATGACGGGTTTGTTTTGAATTATTCTTACTAATAACAGATTGTATTATGCACGTAGTGAGAGATTGCACCGTTCACAATGACATATGATATTAATATTCTTAGATGTAGACTATTGTGTACATTTCTTTCATATTCTTATCAAACTTCACATGTTCGCAACACCTGCCGTAGGAAATGAAGATAGTGTATTAGACTTACAGCTCGTAATAATTAATCACACCTTAGCGACCCAAAGGTAGACTGGAGTATTGGATCGTGTTCTACGATAGTAAATCTGATGAGTAATATATTATTCAGGTTTGATTTTTTAGCAGCCCAATAAGACACAAAAGTTTCCATTTCATTAGTGCTGATAAAAAGAGAAATAACGAGGTGTTCATGCTTTTGTATTCTGTTAAATGTTGTCTACCGAATTACGTAGGTTTGACATAAATGAGTAACTACTTTTATGATCAGTCACTCCAAGTAATAACATTTTTTGTTCACGCAGTAAGATATTTGCATCTAAAATTCGAAAAATATTATTGTTAAAGAAAATAGCAATGGGTAAATTAACTGAAATTCCGTTAATGACAAACCAACTATTGTATATGAGATTTAATAATACATATTCTATATAGGTTCTAAAAATATTAGAAAACTAATTATATAAAGTTCGTAAGATGTCCGTAAATAGAAAATGTGAGACAAAATGTTTTTCAGCTACTGTGACAAAGTCATAGCTTCAAATGTCAGCGTTAAATCTCTTAGTGTACTCTGACCTAGAAGATGCATATTCAAAGTTCAATATTCACTCCTTGTTATTGTCGGTCTGTCTCCTCGTCCCTGTGAACAACAACTAGATAGAGTTTTCTGTTTTGCTCCTTCACATTCTTCCTGCGCGCTTCTGCTAACCATTTTTCCTTTCCAAACCGACCTTCGCCGCCAGTTCAACATCTCTTTTTATCTCGCGAACGCTGCGAGGGAAAAAGGAAAACACGCTTTTCTGCACAGCTCACGCCCGCTAACTTCCGACCTGAATCTGCATTTCAAAACCGTGCGCGTCGGCGACGGTGACGGCGGCGTCGGCGGCCGCGGCTGCGCTCGCGTCGAAAGTCAGGCGGGGGCGGAGGCAGGAGTCTGGCAGGGTCGGAGCGGGGCGGGGCCGACCGGAAGAGGAGCGGGGAGACTGCAGCTGAAGATGTTGACGGGGATGAGCCGCTTCAGAAACAAAGTTAACTCCCCGCGCGGATTCTCCCCTCCATGTTCGCCGCCAGCTCTGTCCCTCCCTCCCCTCCCCTCCCCGCCCCTTCCGCTCTACATCCCTTAACCAGTCCCAACTCCGCCCCGCCTCGGAACCTCCTCCCGAATGGGTTTTGTCTAAATAAATAATATAGCAATTTACGTGCGGGTTAGGCTGTGGCGCGCCCAAACAAGGCGACATTAATTTAAACAAGTGTGGGTCGACGCCGCCGGCGCCCGTTATTTCCCACGCGGACTCCGCGACCACCGCCTCTTCCTCGCCCCCGCCCCCGCCCGTGTCTCCGCCCCGGGCCTCCCCCGCCGCGCCGTCCCGGCCGCTCGTAAATAGGGTAACAGCCCGCGCGACGCGTGCGACGCCGCAGCGCCCCTGGTGGCGACGCCGCGAACCGCGGTCTCTAACGAGCGAATCAAGTTACTACGGCCGCAGGCGAACTGCCGGCTGTCGATAGTATTGAGGACCGTAGAGACGCCCGCTGTTACTGCGGTTCTCCCGCTGGGAACGCAGGCGCCGATGTTTAAGGAGGCAATGACTTATCGCCTGTGGGACGATAATGCTCTCTCGTTAAATCTGGACTAACCGAATTGAACAATTTACACGTCCGGACTAGACGTAAGATATAATATTTATGACTGATATTTGTTTATTAAATATTCATTTTCATTTCATCATTCATTGGGGTGCGGGATTTTTTTAACACATATTGAAAAGTGACGAGTGATATTTGGATAAAAGAAAATACTCAATAGCTTATTCCTGATCATCAAAATAAGCTGCATTCGAAATACTGTATTGTTTCTGTATTCTTGGGCATGGAGTTTACCATAGAAAGCTTGAGTGTTGTTTTAGTGTCAAATCAATGTTTGGAAGTGTTGGTTCGTATCCAACGGAGCCATCCATGCAATAATAAAAGCCATCGTGTTTTTCTATAGGTTTTTTTGAAGTTCTGTGTAAAACGACTCTGATTTGTTATGTAAATATGGAGATGTGTGCACATCGAACAATAGAAGTTACAATTTCCCTTCCGTTAGCCGTTCATGGATCTCTCCATGATAAATGTTATTGGCAGTTGCTCGTTCTGCTAACTGCGTCCGAAATTGGTCGATTGGAAATTTGCGAATAAATAGACTTGTAATGCACACTACTCCCCAGCGCGGTGGATATACACAGTCTACCCCACCCCACCGTGCCCAACCACCCCTCCCCCTCTTGGAAAAAAAAGGCGCGTTGGAATAGGGAGTGGGGCAACATTGTAACATCGCGGGAAAGGCGAGAGAAAAATCCCAACGGCACGGCATCGGCGACGGCTTGCGGGTTGGAAGCGGTGCGGAGCGGGCCTGGGCGGGGGGTGTGGGAAGGGGGTGGAGCCGAGCGGGCAGGGCGTGGAGTGCGCGTGACGCCGTAGCGTCGAGCGGGTGCGAACGCATCGTGCTGCTCAGCGGAGCGCGGCCGACCGTCCCCGCCCACGCCCTTTTCACCGCGCCGTCCACGCCTCCGTACCCGCTCCGCCCTCGGGACGCCTCGTCCACGCTCCCGTCTAGTCCCTCCCACGCCCCCGTATCCGGGCCGCCCACGCTCTGACCGTACTCTACCCATGCCTCCGGTTTTGCCCCTCCCATCTTCATGCTGCGCCTCCGCTCACGCCTCCAGTCCCTCACCCTCACCCTCACCCTCTTCCTCCCCGGTCCGCTCCCACCCACGCTTCGACCATGCCCGGCCTCCGCTCACGCTCACGCCCACGCACCGATCTTGCTCCGCCACCCAGGTGCCACGCGGAAGATGTGCGCCGCTGCCACCCCGCCGAATCCGCCGCACGCGCAAACGTAGATAATTTACATGCTTGTGGCCGCTGATCGAAATTCGATGCGGACGATGGTAAATAAATGTCGGATTAGAAGAGTGTGTCGGCGTGATTTTTCCAGCCTTCGATTTCGGAGATGGCCTGTGAGTAGAGTGAACTCACAGCGCGGTTTCTGTATTGTTTCGGGTGTTGTGTTTGGAAGCTAGGGGAATTGAAGGGGGAACAGTTTCTGACGGCGGTGACATGAACCGATTACTCAAAAACAAATGTAAAAATATCTATGAAGTTTGGTAATATTGAAAAATTGATTTAATATTGAAAACAAGAAAGTTTGTTTTATTATAAATATTTCGGCTTCAAATTAATATGTTTGTAATGGTGTTCAAAATTACTTGTACGTTCTGGTTACAAATAGTTCAAACGTTCAAAAAGTATCCCGAAACAGAAAATGTCTTTGAATAAATTTGAAAAAGATCATCAACTTAAGTGTTTATTACACAAAATTATCTTAGTTAATGGTTATTTAATCGCAATTTCCAATGGAGGTGGTGTAACAGTACTAGTATTTTGTTTAAGGTTTCCCCAGAAGAAAATAAGAAAAATTGTCTTTACTTTTTATTTTTTGCAAACTTTTTTAATTTAACTGGAGTGTTTCTAATGGTTATCCGTTTATTATAGTGACTCCATGAATTTTTATTGAGGAAATTTTATTTACCAACAAAGTGTAAAATAAGTACTACGTAGATTCGTTTCATGAAAAACATCCCTATTATATAATCTTCTACGTGATGTTGATACTGCTGTTACGTTTTATTCCGATGAAGACAAACATTATTCACTGATAATCAGAAAAAAAGAGATTTTATTAGGAATTAAGCTCAAAAGGGACATTTAATTCAATAATTAGCGCATGTGGAATGTGATTTTTTTTAAAATTTAGTGACATTTATTACAAATGTAAACTACATTACTTGATACTATGTGGCTAGTCAGAAGGTCTATAAGCCATTACAAAATCTACATTCTAGGGCATTCTAACCTGTTTTTTGCGTTGTACCTATCCGAGATGGGCACTTCATTTTTCAAATTAACGGAAAGAGCCTGTTTTTTTTATTTATTTATCGTCAAAAACAATTAAAAAGTGTTTGTGATGTACTATGGGGAGAAGTAAAATCTGTGCATGGTTTCTGTCTCTGCTCTTTCTTTCTCTGGGATGTCTGCTATAACTAGTATTACATATTAAGTTGAATTATGAATTGAGGTAGTATCGAGTGTTTTTGGCAAGAATTGTTACGAAAACGTTTACTACCATGTTATAAAATCTACTCACAAAGGCAAGTCATCTACTGATTTAAGCAATTTATGTATAGTACTTGGGAGTATGGTGTGGCCGAGGCAAAAATACATGAAGGCGAAGTACCCGCCGTTGGAAGAGGAATACACATTAATATACCAAACTTGTTTTCTGTACTAATACTGTGCATAAACGTATAGCTTTTTCTCCTTCCAGATTTCGGCATCATGAGCACCTGAAAATCCCATCTCTGTGCTTATTTTACTAAAATACAAACACTCTAACACGCCAGAGCACACATGACCACAAGCACAAATGGACGCAATAATGTTCTCATTAACTTATTTGTTGTTCGATCTAGGTTTACTACTAATCATTTCAATGAGCACAGTCTCCAATTACCCTTTCGCTAAAAGCTCGAACGTTTCCTCGAGATGTTCCTAATTCTTTCATGAAGTGAGATTCTTTATTTTTTATAATGTCCTGAGCAAAGAGTTACGTACAAAATATAATAGGGACAACAAAACTCTTCTCCATATTCTCCGGTCGACGGCCATCTAGAACAATCCGGGCGCTTTAATACTAAACACCGCCAGGGCCACAGCATTGTTTCCATGCGAGATTCGCTTTCGCAGCGGTGACTCTCCGCGGTGAGCTATTTGATTTCGTTTTGCCGCCCGCGCGCTCTCTTTCAACCTGCTTTGTCGCTGCAGGATTTCGAAATAATTGTGAGCGAGCAGCGTGATATCAGCTTCAAAACGGTTGTTCGTTTA